GGCGTGTCCCTAGGAGAAGGCACTACAGATACCAACATTAAATCACAGAGTGATATGGAGTTGGAAGGGACCTCTGGAGATCATCTAGTCCAATCCCACTGCCAAAGCAGGTCCTCCTGGAGCAGGTTGCACAGGAACATGTTCAGGTGGGTTTGACTGTCTCCAGAGAAGGAGACTCCACCACCTCCCTGGGCAGCCTTTTCCAGTGCTCTGCCCAAAGTGAAGAAGTTCCTCCTCATGTTTAGACAGAACGTCTTATATTCAAGTCTGTGCCCATTTCCTCTTGTCCTATCCCTGGGCACCACTGAAAAAAGACTGGGCCCTTCCCCTTGACACCCACACTTCAAGTATTTATAAGCATTGATCAGATCCCCCCCCTCAGCCCTCTCTTCTCCAGACTAAAAGACCCAAGTCCCTCAGCCTCTCCTCATAAGGGAGATGCTCCAGGCCCCTCATCATCTCTGAAGCCCTAGATGCAATAAAACAAACAAACAAAAAATCAACTTCTAGCACATAATTCATCCACGTCATCACCCCTAAGAGGGGAAAAACCATCCTGACACTAATGGAGAATCATCAAAATCATCTGAGACACCAAAGAGCAGAAGTCAAACATGAATGCTGAGAAGAAGCCTCACCAACAGCATAAAAGCCTGTGACAAAAGCTGTTAAATTAATAAGAAATGAATTGTTAGGCAAGTTCACTTGATCAATAATAAAAATAAAACCACATCAAATCAGAAAACAGCCCGCACTGATGGTGAAGAGAAGTTTAAAGTTAGTTTATGAGCTGAGAATTAAAACAAGAGAAGGCACAGGCCAAATCTCCCTCCCTTGGAGGATTAGAAAGCTCAGGTCATACCTGAGAGGAAAATGGGAATCAGGAGAATAAATGGAACATCAGTTCACATGATCAGTATGTGGGTATGAGGGGAGTGTAAGGACAGAAGAAAGTCTTGAGATGAAGAAAGCCGGCTGCACGTGGCACCTGAAACCAGGGATTCTCAGGGAAGAGAGGGAAGGATGGAAAGAGCTCTTAATCTTAGAGATCCCAAAAAATTGGGTAAGAGAGCAGAGACGGGGGAGAGGCTGAAAGTCCTGTATTTGAAGAAGCAGGACACTGGATGGAGCTGTTGAATTCAACTGAAACTTCAATAGTTTCATCCCACCCACCACTTGAGCTCTTGCTGCAGGGTAACCATATGCCTTCTTCTGAGCCTACGTTTAAAGCTTCTACTACCTGCACTTACCTTCTACATTTTTTGATCAATGAAGTCTAATTTATAGGTATAGGAGTATGGAATAGATCTATAGAAGTGCTTGCTGTGAGTTACACAACATCAGTATTAAAGGCATCCAAAACCTACATTCTGTACCTGCGCACAGGGCATATTCTTTCCAATTGATCATCACAGCCAAAAATCCCATTCTCAAATGGGACAACTGAGAAAAAACACTAGGAAAAAGGACTAGTGTGTGTTAGTTCCAATTCTCTAACACTAAAACCCTGGCTTAATAATAAATATCAATGCTAGTCCCCCTAGGAACGTTCTCAGATATTCTGGACTTCTTACTTCTCTTTACACTGTGCTTCATTCTTTGATGCTAGAACATAGAACCATAGAATGGTTGGAGTTGGAAGGGACCTTAAAGAGCATCAAGTTCCAACCCTCCTGCCACGGGCAGGGGCACCTCCACCAGACCAGGTTGCTCAAAGCCCCATTCAACCCCTTGAACACCTCCAGGGATGGTGGTGGAGCTTCTCTGGGCTACCTGTTCCAGTGCCTCACCACCCTCACAGTAAAGAATTTCTGGTATGTAATCTAAATCTCCCCTTCATCTGCTCCTTCACTTGTCTTGGAAACCTTCCCCCTGTCCCCAGTGCAGCCAGTTCTCACCGCACAGCTGAGGAGCTCGGGTTCTCCGCCGCGGCTGGAGCTGCCGACGGGCTGGCCACCTTGGCCACCAGGGTCTGCTTCACCACACATGCGCTCTCTCGCAGGCAGGTTAACACACATCAGGAGACGTGATTTTATAAAACGACAACAAAAAAAAGCAAATATATATCTCATTAAGCCTCTAATTTTCAAAATAACCCTATGTGCAGCATTACTGTATCTGTAGTAAGACTTCTGGGAACCTTGCGCTCCGTCCCATCAAACAATAGTTTACTTCCTAATGGGAAATGATGCTTGTTTTCCTTTGTTTGTCCTGTCAAATGTTGGTTGCCAAGTTTCTGTCCAAATGCTCGAAAGATAAACTGTTTACAGGCATTAAACCGAAGGGCAAGTCTGCCTGAGAGAGGGTACCCGTCGTGAGAGAACCAGCAAAGATTAGTCCTTTACGTAATCAGAGAGCTCTTTGCAAGCGTGACCGGAAAAAAAGGTAACAGGGGGCAAGTACAAAAATAAAACAAAGCAAAGAATAACTAATATTAATTATTAATAGCAGCAAAAAAACCTATATATACCTAGTACAGTACTTGGACTCTGGATACAGGAGTCTCCCTTCCCTTCTCCAGCACAAACACGTGCACCACAGTTTTCTCTCCATCTCTCCAGCACCAGAAGAATTGAGCAGTGCAACCCTGGGGGAACCACACGGTGCCGGACTAACAAGGTGCTCAAGACAAGAGCTTCTGGGAGTTTCAAGGAAAGAAGTACAAGATATGAAAGACCAAAAGACATTGCTAACTTTAAAAACTAACGGATCCGTATCAAACCTGAGCTGTTTACTATACAACCTCAAATAGTTAAACTAGCCAATTCTCTAAAAAATTATTTAAACTCAATCAGTCTTCTCAGTACAAGGGATCAGAGCAACCAGAGAGCAAAATATCACACGATTATTTTCAGTAGTGGACAAACTAGTCTTACACAATACAGCTGAGCTTTTTTCTCTGAAGAGAGTAATGCTTTTTCGTTTCCAGCAGCAAACTCGTGGTTCAAAACATGTTATTAAGCTTTCACTGGTGTTATTTGGGTCTCAAGAGCACCAAAGTGCCAGCCAAGCTTTTACCAGACTATTACAGACTTGAAAAGAATATAGTACTTTCTTGCATCTTCTTGTAAGTACTAGACACAGAATAGGAGAATTTTCTTCCCAAACAGAGCATGTATTTCTTCATTCAGTATCAGTGGTAAGACGGTAAATACCATATGAAAAACCATCTCCTTCTTACACTTTACTATTTTGTATTTCATATTCTATTCTATTATTTATATCCCTGTTTTCTGATTGCTTTCATACCCTTTATTGCTTTGTAACTATAGAAGCAGCATTTTTTTTTTTTTTCTGCTATTACACTGGTTGCACTTACAAGAAATGCAACTTTCTCAATTTCTAAACTGGATTCTTTGCCTGTCCTCGGGTTCTGTCTCTGGTACGGCACAAAGCAGTGTCTGTCACGCTACAAGACACTTCTGGGAGATGGACAGACATCTAATGATACACACCTTTGCAAACTGCCACCAGGGACTAAGCCTTTTAGGAAATTATTTTTCTTCCTCATAGTGCTGGTTTCATTTACTTGCACATCAGAAAACACCTAGCAGGCACTCAGGGAAAAAAAGAGATCAGTAAGAACGTTTAGATATGGCTAAGTAACACACGCATTCATGGTTTTTTCCAGACTGTACAGAGACAGGACGTATCGTTTTGTCATCTGATATGTTTGTCGTTAAGAAGCATTTTAAAAAGTTGTGGAAATTGAGACAGATGCCAGGCCAAACTCACCTGGGCAAGATCCTTGTCTACCCAGGGTGTGGGAAGGCAGGTCCCTCCGCTCCCATTCACCTGCCCAGACCCACCTGCCCAGCACCAGAGGCATCTCCATTCAGGGCGTTTTCCCTAAGAATGTGATTTGTATGGATAAAATTTTCTGTTTCAGCTCCTTTACATGCTCTCAGAAGAAAACATTTTGCCTAAACGTTCCCTGCCAAGTCTACTTGGACACCAGCAGAGCCAGCAGACTGGACAGGAAGAACAAGAAGCTGACACCAGGCTTCCTTCCACAGCCGACCCACCAGCAGCAGTGGCTGTGCCTCACTTTGTCACAGCCCAGGACATGCAGGTCTCACCTCCTTACAGGGCCCCTCTGTGCAAAAGCATTCCAGGTCCTCCAGTTTAACATGGGGAGCTGCTGAAATCTCCAGGGAAAGAATGCTGCGCTGCCCAAGCTCTCATAACAGCCAGTAAATTAATAAATAAATAAATAAATAAAATAAATGTTTAAACCAATAAATACCAGTAAAGCAAAATATTTGCAGTTTGTCAAAACTCATGAATTCTTCCCACTGTGAGAGCAAGGGGTGATGCTTTAAATCTGCAGCTTCTGAGACAGCGTGATTCACTGCGTTTGGGCAAACCCGGCTCCTGCTCCCTCGGTCACACTCTGCAATCATAGAATCATAGAATGGTTTGGGTTGGCAGGGACCTCAAAGATCATTGAGTTCCAACCCCCCTGCCATGGGCAGGGACACCTCCCACTAGAGCAGGTTGCTCAAGGCCACATCCAGCTTGGCCTTGAACACTTCCAGGGATGGGGCATCCACAACTTCCCTGGGCAACCTATTCCAGTGTCTCACCACCCTCATAGTAAAAAATTTCTTCCTGAGATCTAATCTGAATCTTTTTTCTTCCAATTTAAAACCGTTTCCCCTTGTCCTATCACTACACTTCCTGGCAAAGAGTCCCTCCCCAGCTCTTCTATAGGCACCCTTCAGGGATTGAAAGGCCGCTATAAGGTCTCTCCAGAGCCTTCTCTTCTCCAGGCTGAACAACCCCAGCTCCCTCAGCCTGTCTTCATAGGAGAGGTGCTCCATCCCTCTGATCATCTTCGTGGCCCTCCGCTGCACCTGTTCCAGCCGGTCCATGTCCTTTCTGTGTCGAGGACTCCAAAGAAAGGACAATGGTGTGAGTAACGTCCACGCAGGCAGAAACAAGTTCACGGGATAAATTAAATGGGATTAAAAAAAAATAATATATCAAAGAATAAGGCGTTTCAGTTCAAACTAAATCTTTATTCATATGGAAAATACTATTTTTCTTTTCAAATGATGCTAATAAATAAAAATACTCAGAAAGAACTTTGCTTAAAGTGACTAGTTACAGCCACATGAAGCTTTTAATTCCCGTTAAAACCACGCCAACAATCATGCAGATTGGCTACGAGAAAGCAATATAAACTATATTTTATTTTGTGCAATCTTATCATACAATCTTAATGCTACCTTCTTCTAAACCATTTCACATAGATTGAAATGCAATTTCAAAACAAATATTTAGGGACATAGTCTACACTTATTCCACATACAGAGCCATGTATAGCTTAAGCCCATAAATGTATAATGTGGTTAAGCATCTAAAGAAGGTAAAAGAGGACCCCATTCTGAAAATTCAGATAAATTTATAAACATAAGAGAAGAAAAGCTCACACCAGTGAGTTCTCAAAAGACAAATACATTATTAAAGCATAACAATAAATTATATTAAATTTAACAATGTTCATCCTTAGAACGATTATTTCTGAAGAAGTATCACCTAAAAAGCACACCAAAACTTTCATCACTAGGAGTTAAACCTTAAGGTTATATATCTCAATTTCCCACTCGGATGCAATTTTGCTTTGTGAGCATATTCTTTATCATACAATTAAAAACAAATTCAAAAATGTTGCAGCTAAGCTGTGCATCAAACACATCATCAAGGTGAGAAACAGGCACTTGACAGTATAATGTGCAAGGCAAAACCTTTACTGGTCACAGTATAAATAGTTTCTTCCGGAGGGAAATTAAAAGTTCTCAGCCTATCTTTGACAGCAAAATATTGAGGGCTGCCAGCAGATCTTTTTCTGTTCTTTTAGGTCAGCACCAACAACCAAACTAAATACTAGCTCATGCCTTAGAGGGTATTCCATAAACTATAAAATGCAGCATACTCTACCCCAGAACACTCTTTCCTATAATTAACCTCAGCACACGTATTTGCCAAAGGCAAATACAGAGTTTATTCACAGACTAAATGATGCAATATAAACGCTAACCCTTTCTCCTCTATTAGTATTTTTTTAAATATATAGTGCCAATTTGACAAATATATTTGCCACCTACAAGATCCTGTTCTGTGGCACAAACCACCGATGTTCTTTTATATAAGCTTAAGAACAACGTCTTTTAAGATCCTATTAATAGTGGGGGGAAAAAAAAAAACCACAACAACAAAAAAACAACAACAAAAAAAACCAACACGAACAAAAAAAAAACAAAAACAAACAAACAAACAAAAAAAACACAACAAAAAAAACCACCATTTTGCTACAGTTTCCCTCCAGGCCCATCTCAACAGGAATCTCCAAAAAAAAAAACCAAAAAGCAGCTCTGCAGGAACTGTAAGCCAGAAAACTATAAATGAATGGGAAGAGAGAGGAGAAAGAGACAGCAAAGAAAGGAGTCGTGTGGCAGTAACAGAAACAAGGTACAAGCTTAGAAGAAAATTGCATGCATCCCTTTTCATCAGCACAAGCTTCTTGCAAAAATATGTTTCCAAGATATCCGTTATATAAAGGTATATGCTTTGTCGTAAAAACGCTGATTTTCTCCAAAACGCTAACTTGAACTTCTGAGTGCACTGGCCACATCGCCAGGCAGTCACCGAGCTTTCTGCTCTGTTATTCCAGTTCAACAATCAGGAGAGAGAAAAGGCCTACTGTTCCTTTTTTATGAAACTTTTGGTTTGATTTTTTTTTTTCCATGTATGTTAAAGTAGTATTTATATAGGTCATATAAACAAAACGGAAACCAACTTTGGCTCTGACATCAGCCGCACTGCTAATGAGACAAAATGCTAGAAAGAGGCACTTTTAGTATTTTTATATACATTTCAAATCTCAAGTTTAACACTTCACCTTCTTTTACCAAAAATTAAAATATCAGTAGCTAACAAGACTGAGCTTTTTAACCAAAATGCTTCAGAAGTTGTGTGCATGCACATACTTGCAATGGCTCAGTTACTCAGTTATCCTGAAAATGCCAGAGTATAATTCAATCACTGCTTATGGGGCTGGGGGGGAGGGAGGGAGGAGGAACAATACAGCACAAAACAAGAAAGTTCTTTGTAGTACAAGGATCAGCTACTGAAAATGAAAACACATGCCCTTCCATAAGAAGCAACTTACCCCTAGATTCAGGACTCCGGATACTGACAATCAAGATCTTCTTATACTCTACTCACTGCTGCTTTCCAAATTTTCAATCACTTTTATTTTTGGCATAACAAGCATCTTAAAAACTGAGAGGCTTAGCTTTGTCAAACAACGTTCAATATTTTAAAAAAAAAAAACAAAAAAACAAAACAAAAAAAACAAACCACCACACACGAAAAAACCCCACAACAAACCCAAACAACAAACCTCTGGAAGACCCATTTGACCTGACTATTGGTGAAGATCCTGTGATGGAAGGAATTACACTAGAATAGTATTTTCCCACTTCATACACAGTATAGCACATCGTGAGAGTTGAGCAACTTGTGTGCACAAGCTGAAGCATACGCTGAGGCTGAAGATTTGGAAAACAGTCTACTAAGTATAAGCATTCTCCCTGCAGGCAACAGATCAGTACTCTTAGTTAAAAAGGGACAGCATCAAAACTAAAATTTTGAGTGGCCCTCAAATACCAGAATAAAAACAGGACCTCAAGCTAGTGGAAGTTCCTACATAAGGCAGTCAAATTTACAACCAGTGTATACATTCACTAAGGAATTACTTTTTTTTTGGTAAAACCAACAATCCAACATACTGCAGAGTCTGAATGTGAAATATAGGCACAAAATAGATTCTCTACCTTTTTTCAGTGTGGAAAACATAGCTATTTAACAATGTAATAAGAAAATTTATATCAGGTGAGCAAAAATTTGTAACAATCTGAATAAAACAAAGTACTGTATAAAGGTGCAATATTGAGCAGATTTGATTTTGGTTTTAACTCATGGAACCTTTCTCTTCTTATCTATGAAGTATTTCACATTACCAGTATCATTCTAGTTCTTCCCAGTTGTCAGTAAGGTTACCTTTGCTTTGACGTCTAATACTAACCAGCTTTCCAGCTGATTTGATACTCCACCTGGAACTGTTTCCTGAGCTGGCCAGGTTTGTGTATTTTGTGGAGCCTTTGGTTTCATCTTCCCAGCCTGACCAGGCTGTATAGTCACTTAAAGAAGCTGCTGCGTCACTGGTAGAGTCAGCAGTGGTGATCTGTGGTGGTTCCCATCCCTCAATCTCATCCGGTTTCCTAGATTGGACATTCTGCTTTATCACCAAACTGTCCCAAAAACCTGGCTTCTTTTCAGTCTTCATCTCTTCCTTTAACTTTAGGTTTGTTCTGGAAAATAACAATGATGAGGTGATTAATTTCTTCATTTAACAATGCATGTAATAGTTAGTAACAAACACTGAATTAATTTATTATGTTTGATAGCAAGCAATGCTAATCAGTCGTCAGCCTAGGACAGCACATCCATTACTATCAACTCCAGGAAAAACACTCTGGTAGACATGTAAACCTAACCACAGTAGAATCTTGCAGTGATAAATCAGAAGAGGACTCAGAACGGCCATTTCCTATTAGAAAAGACCTTGCACTCCTCCTCCCCACCCCCTGTGAACTCCACAGAACTGCCTTTGGAAACGTATGAAGTATTTTATGCATCAGAACAATTCAGGACTTGAACCAAAAGAAACCAAAAACCAACCCCATTCATCTCTGCCATTCATCCAGTTCTCAGTCCACCTCACTGTCCTCTAACCCACACTTCCTAAGCTTACCTATGAGGATGTTACGGGAGACAGTGTCAAAAGCCTTGCTGAAGTCAAAGTAGACAACATCCACTGCTCTCCCCTCGTCCACCCAGCCAGTCATGCCATCACATTGGGCAAGCATGACTCCCCTTGCCATGATCACCTTGCCAGTTAAAACGTACACTCTAAAATAGTTGGTGAACAAGTATTAGGACTTTAATGACACCAGCATTTTTTTTCATAAAGATCTGCACAACGAAAATAGCTGGTTTTATTTCTGGTAAGAACTCCCAAAATTCCCCTCTCAAAACCAAGAAAAAAACAAAAAGAGATACTTGAAAGGCTGTGCGTATTATTACATTTCTTAGCCCATTAAGAACCTTCAGTATGAATTATTTCATATTTGCAGTGTGGAATATTTGAAATACAGAACGTCAAATGTTTCTGCATAAATTTATACGCAGGATTATGTTTGTAATCAAATAACGGACCACAAGGAAAGGCTGAATACCAGCCGTGAAACACACAACCTTCAGGGTTCAATGAGCTAAGTAACAAATTGAAAACATTATCTGCTAGGAGCATACAAATTCCTTAGCCAAAAATACAACCATTTTTGTAGTATTTCTATTAAAAGAACTTTTTTTTCCATTAATTAAAGCTGAACACTGTCATATTTAAATAAAAGCAACCGAACAAATACCTTTAAAATAACTTACTGAATCGTGAATTTACCATTAGATTTCTCAGAATTTTCATCTTGCTAAAGCCAGTCACGGGCTCTGAATGCTTTTCTCATATTTCACGAGCAATGCACTTCAAAAGTTGTTTTTTACTTTAGAAGTAAAAATCATGGTATACAATTACAGGAAAATACCCCCAAACTTAAAATACAGCCAGTTTGCATCATAACGCTAAAAGAGATTTCCACATTTGTGGTAACTTGTGGTTTTCATCCCTCTGCTCTCTTCCCTGGGTTACTTGACTGTTATATTCAGCATCAATTGCAAAGAATCCTTGAAGCAAGTCAGCATCTTAATAACACCCATAAAATTGTCCAGGGACAGCAGCTGGGAACTTTTGGGAAGTTTTATTGAACAGGCTCAAATGCAGATAGAAATATATGTATTTATATTTTAAATTGTTAGTACATATATACACACACAGCCCTGCAAGCACATATATACATTTGCATACTGTAATATACATATTTCAAAGTAAACTGGAAACAAGACATACTACAGCAAGTCTTACCAAAGCTAATATTGGGCTGGAACATCTATACTGATAGGTGGCACGTTTTTACCTTGTTTGTAACCAAGGTAGGTAGCACATTCAGTAAAGCCTACCTACTGAATTTCACTGAATTTCACTTGTAACAGCAAAACAGTCTGTCCTGGGAAAAGGTCTGTTCCGTGCAGAGAACAGCTCTAACCGTACCAGCAACAGAACTGTTCCACCTCAGCTCTGACAGGGAAGATTTGCAGATCCTGGTATAGCTATTCCACTTAACCTTTTTAGGTGTAGCCAAGACTTCAAAGGGGAGTTACGCACGCAAAAAAAAGGAATTTGTAAATTCAACCATAATAAATCCTTAAGAGGAAAGGGGGAGGGTGGGAATGACCTTTTACTCAAAAACCTTTACTCCTTTTCTACAGTAAAAAATTATTGTACAGCTAAATTCCCTTTTCTTCCCGACAGAACTAAAAATATCTGTCCTTTCCTAATCCAGCACGCCTTATCCATTGTAAGCTGAACGTATATGTAATTCTGCAAGGCACATAAACCTTTCTGCAGGATGTAACTTCCAGGAGTTGAACACTACTGCTTCTCAGTGTCTACCTTCACTACTTTGCACAGCTATTTTCTGTTCCAGTTTGTGCATGTGAACAGCACATAGACCAATTGTTCTTACTCACCCTTTGGATTTGGGAGACTTGCATCCTGCTAGCAACTGCTGTTCGTCATCCTTGTTGAACATCGACGTCACTTCCTTCCAACCCCGGAAACTTGCACCTTGAACCTACGCAGAGAAGGAAACATCCTCATAAATATGAATTATGGACTTACAAGCACAGTAAGTGCTGCAGCGCAGACTCTGGGTGGCAGATGGGTAGGGCTGGTGCTGCCCCTCATGCGCGGTGCAGCTGGGACCACAGCAGCTCCTGCAGAGCCTGCAGAGGATGGCCGCATTGTGAAAAGGAGCAGGTTGTCCTGCAGCCAGAGGTCTTTCCTGCTGAGCAAAAAGTACAAAACCTCGCCAGTTTGCAGAGGCTGGCAAGCGATGGGTGAGTACAGTGAGTACAGCTGGGCTCCTGGATGCTCTTCTGTAGGCAGGAGCTGCTGGCTCCATTTTAGCCTATCACAGTAAGACGCGAATCAAGGCAGCTCAGGAAGCAGTCTAAGGGGCTTCAGTAGACAGAAACGCAACAGTCATTGCTAGAGTCATAGAAAGGTTTTGGTTGGAAAGGACCTTAAAGATCACCTAGTTCCAAGCCCCTGCCACGGACAGGGACACCTCCCACCAGGCCACATTGCTCAAAGCCCCATCCAGCCTGGCCTCAAACATCTCCAGGGATGGGGCAGCCACAGCTTCTCTGGGCAACCTGGGCCAGGGTCTCACCACCCTCACAGCCAAGAATTTCTTCCTAATATCGCATCTAAATCTTTCCTCTTTCACTTTAAAACCCTTATCTCTCGTCTTATCACTTCAATCCTTGATAAAAAGCCCTCTCCATCTTTCCTATAGGGCCCTTTTTGCTACTGGAAGGGGCTATAAGGTCTCCTCGGAGCCTTGCCTTCTCCAGGCTGAACAACCCAATTCTCTCAGCCTGTCCTCCTAGGAGACGTGCTCTAGCTCTCTGATCATATTTGTGGCCCTCCTCTGGACCTGTTCCAACAGGTCCATGTGTTGAGGGCTCCAGAGCTGGACATAGCACTCCAGGTGGGATCTCACAAGCACAGAGTAGATGGGCAAAATCACCTCCCTCGACCTGCTGGCCACACTTCCTTTAATGCAGAAAAGGGCCACAACAGACAGGACAGCCAGCTGAATTATGAAACTTTTAAGATTTAACCTGCTTTGCACTTACTGTTCTTATTTTTAACTCATTAAATCTACTTCTTGTGGCCCTGCAAGGAAGAAGGGCAGGAGCACTGACTGACCAAGTGAAATGTAACACGTGGCACTAGTACCATTGCAGCATGCTCTCCAACCACTAAACACGTGGGATAAATTATTTTTTCAGCATGATTAAAGGTTTGAGTCCCTCTCCCCCAAAGCCAATAAGATAGGTATTGGTTATCTTTATTTTGATAGGAAGCTTAGGGACTCTAACAGAAATGCCCGCACACGCGCCAAGCACAGACTATAAAAGGGGCTGTTCTTCCGCACAGGGTCTGGTAAGAACGGCAGAGTGACAGTCTGCCAGTGTGACTTGATTCCATCAAAATAATGCAACAATGCATTATAAAGTATAATAAACAATCAAAACACAATTGCGGTTGTCAACATGACTGAAGGCTAATTCATCACCTATTATTATTTTTGCAGAACTCATCGCTGCAAATCGGTAACAATTTGATGTGTAGGTTTTAATTGATTGCAGTTTATAAGTGGTACATCCAGGCCCTAAGACACGTGAAACATCACCTACAAATTGAGTACAAACAGCCGACAGGAAAATACTGGTACTGCCGCCTCCTCACCTTTCAGAAACCCACAACCTCTACCATTTGCAGGAGTAAAATGGTGCCCTTGTTACCACCCGTTAGTCATGGAGTATTTCCACCTCTTGTTCTCCTGGTTCACTGTGGCCTACATCTTCACTTCTCACCCACCTTCCCTACTCACAACGGAACCGCCTCAGCTACTCCATCTCAGGAGACACAGCAGGTTTGTTTCAGGATGAGGAGGAAGGTCTAACCTAGACTCAGTTTCATTTTGGTTAGATACAAACATGGATCCAGCTTTGTGCAAAGCTCTGGAGAACGCTGAAGAGGGAAGGCTGAGCAAGCCCAGAGCCAGCCATCTCCAGCTCTTGTTCAGGGGATATGGACAGACCAGGTGCAGGAGAGCAAGGTTCCCCACAAACCAAGCCTCCGCAACTGCTCTGCTCACCTCTTCCTAAACCCGCACCTGATCTGACCATAAACCACAGCATTCCCCACAGATTCACAAGGAAAACAACAGCTTTGATATATTATTTTTTTCTACTACGAGAATAAAGTGCGTACAGATTATAATAAGAAAACTCTCATGTTTAATTTAAACATACACTTTCTATTTTTAATTATGTTAAAAATATGGACACAGCTAACTTCAACTTTGATTCTATGGTGAGTCTGGCCCAGGGATGCAGAATAGTTTGGGTTGGATGGGACCTTTAAAGGTCACCTAGTCCAACCCCCCTGCAATGAGCAGGGACATCTAAAACTAGATCATGTTGCTCAGAGCGCCGTCCAACCTGACCTTGAATGTTTCCAGGGATGGGGCACCTACCACCTCTCTGGGCAACCTGTGCTAGTGTAAAAAAATTATTCATTCCATCTAGTCTGAATCTTCCCTCTTTCAGTTCAAAACCATTACCCCTTGTCCTATCACAACAGGCGCTGCTAAAAAGTTTGTCCCCATCTCTCCTGTAGAACCTCTTTAGGTACTGAAAGGCTTCTATAAGGTCTCCCTGGAGCCTTCTCTTCTCCAGGCTGAACAACCCCAACTCTCTCAGCTTGTCTGTATAGGAGAGGTGCTCCAACCCTTTGATCATCTTCGTGGCCCTCCTCTGGACCCACTGCAACTCACAAAAGACTGGTACCGTTGATAGCATAAAACAAAACCAGACAGGCTGCAGATGACACCTTCAAGCTGATACCTTGGTCTTCAAAATCCTTGTGATTAAACTATCGGCCTCTCCAAGCCGTACCCAACATTTAATGCTTCTGTGGTGTAACTAACGGTCTAAAACCTCAACTTTAGTCCATGAAAGCCTAAGCCTGTTATCTATTTCTGTTGTTCAGTTAAATTCTGTAACAAATTTAACATGAGGATTTGTTACTCTGATTTGGCTTCCTCTCACTGCAAAGTACCTCATCCACAACATACCTGCAAAAAAAGGAATCATCTCCAAGAAGTTAGCTGCTGAGGGAAGTAGTCTGTTTAAAGGAAAAAAAAAAAGAAAAAGAAAAAGAGAAACTGTAGAAAGTGCTTAGCTTTTCATATGTTAAAAAAATCCTTCATCTTCTGTTATCTTACTCAAATTCTACTGTTTCGGGCCTTTTCGGAAGGAACCTTTGCTACCGTAGGCAAAACCACAGTTAAAAGCAGCACATAACAACTCTTACTGCCTTTAGGCCTTTAAACTGGACAAAGACCTAAGTATACCTCAGTGAACTAATTTATATATAAGCTTGTCTTTCTTCACTAAAGATTCTTCAGCAAACCATTGCCATATAATAAACCTGCAGATAAGAAAAAACCCAAACAACAAAAATCCAAAAAAAACCCCACCTTGTTACTAGTTTTCAGATAGCAGTTTAATGCAGTCAGAGAACTGCATTAACTTAAATAACATGTGCCTTTAAAGAACAGCCTCAATGAAAGACTATTCTGAGATATGCGTTTATATTGTAAATGCTTCTGTTCAATGTAAAAAAGGGTATACCTACCCATAAACCTTCTTTTAATCTAGAATATCACACATACCTCAATGATGCAACTCCAACCTCTGCACTCTTTCTACCCACATGTAAATAAGCATCTATGTACACACTGTACCATTCCTTCAATATTTTCATAAACAAATACTCCCCACAATGGATCCATGGCATTTGGTAGGTACATATAAGGGTAGTAACAGCATAGGAGATTGTAACTGATTTCTTCTTCTTTCAACTAGTCCTTAGAGGAAATGTACACTAAACCTTTAAGTCACACCTCCACCACTTATTTATTTGTGGTTTCCGAAGAAAACACTGCTAGGATAGTCTACACAAGAGCATCAATGTCCAAGTAGACCATATTTTGCTAATATGTGATAAAACTCATTGCACAAAGCCTATTGCATATTAAATGAACTAGGCTGAAAGAAATCTCATGAGTGTAAGGGTAAAACCAGAACTTCTGCTTACCATGCTTAAGCCTCCTCTTCTACACCTGCCTGCGCTAGCACTGATCTTCTGAAGCATCTTTTCACCCAGCTGAACGGAGTGAACAGCTCACTCTTGAGAGTTTTCTCAGTAGCACTGCACTTCAGAATATAAACCCTAGCAAAGGAGGAGGTCAAATACTTATTTCACACTTCCAGAAGCTTTCTTCTAACTACTGATCTGTGTAAGACAACAATCTCCCTTTTTTACTACAGCTGTCATGTAATTGTCACATACTAAAAAAATCCCTCAAACCAGCCTGCTGCATTTCTGTATTTCTTTTCACTGCTCTTTAAAGACTTTTAATCTATAGACAAGCACCACCACCAATGCATCTGTTGGTAGGTACAGCTCAAGAAGGAGATCTAGAAGACGCCATTCTCTGAAACCATCAGTTTTGACACGCAGCAGCTGCAAAGCCAAATAATGCTGGGAACTATCATAAAAAAGATTAGACAAATTTAGACAGCAGATCCATAAATGGATACCCTCTGTTTAGAGGGATGCAACCTCTAATACCTCAAAATAATCATTCCTGAGGTTAGGGGAAGAGGCCCTAGAAACTGGCTAAGCTCTGCTCTTCCTGAACAGCATCTCCCATTGCCACAGTCAAAGGCAGACTGGGCCAGTCTCTGAATCAGCTGGGAATTTCTTACATTCTTACAGAGCATGTGAAGAGAAACCCAGACCCCAGAACAATTAGCTTCCTTGCAATGGATGTCAAAGACAGGTCAAGCAGTAAAGAAGAGATGACACTTTGGTAAGCTGACTCCTCGCCACACCAGAGACTTATTTCATGTAAAAAGATGTAAGTTATGCAAAGTATGAAAGTGCAGTACTGATACGGTCTTAAAGCACCGAGCCACTTGCAGAAGTTCT